TTGTTCTAAATGTTTGAAATGCCCTGTTCAAGAATTCATCCGATTAACCAGTTAACTTGCCGATTAATCCCTACTCATAGGGTCCCCGAGTAGCCGATTACCCGATAAATCATCCGATTAATTGATTAAATGGCCGATTAACTTGACGATTAGCCTATTAATCCCCTACTCACCAGCTGACCGAGCAGCTACCAATTAACGATTTCCTCAACAATGTTGAAATGTAATAAAAATCCATCATGTTTGCATGAAATCCATCATGTTTGCATGAATTTCATTCAATTTATTAGAAAAATGTTTGAAATATATGCGGGTAACGTCAGATGACGGCGGCCTGCATTTATGTCCATAAATTGATCAGGAAATTTGCATACAGCCGTTGGAGATGCCTTAAACTGGTTGTTGCAGGCACAAACAGATGCTTTGTGCGAAGCTTTCGCATCGGGTTTCGGTTACCATGGTGGCAAACAAAAAAAAGAACAGGGGAACGTTAATTTAATTATCAAAAATTAAAAAGAACAGGGAACCTTAATCTTTCCCTAATAATAAAGTATAGATTGACTCCGTGGGTTCACCGTCACAATACGCTTTTTTCCATGATTTTACGCTTTCAGTTTGAATTTAAAACATATACGTGAGGTGGTACTAAATTTCGTCCGCTCGCAAGATTTTTGTATGTAAGTATTGTTTAGGCTCACGTAAAGGAAAAGGAATCTACATTGATCGCGTATAGGTTTCGTATTGGGCACGTTCTGTAGCTCCCACACCCTGGTTCCCTATATAAATATAGGGTGAGATTGAGGAGACACCTGAGATCAAGGAGAAGCGAGATCGATCATGATAAAAAGCGATCCGCTGGTGGCGACGCACGCGGCCAGGCCGGCGGCGAGGCAGCTAGGCCCTCGACCTTTCTGAGTTGGCCACACGATGAACCGCCGGGTGAAGCCCGCTTAAGCAGGGTCACGTGAGCGCACAACTAGAAGCTCGAGGACAACGTCTTTGGCAAACCAGATCGATTCCACCGTGATGTCTGTTCCGACGACGACGGATACTGCCAGAATCAATTTAAGCCGAGGCAACCTGTTCATCTCAAGCAGCGGCCGGCGGCAACAAACCGCCATGGACTTCATGTTGCTCAGCGGCGACAATGGCACGAACATCGGCAGCGCTGAAATAAAAAAACGCCTACACAGCTCCGGCAACATCCAGCATCACTGTCATCCTGAGGCGAGGCGGCCATAGCAGTCTCCTCGGAGCGGAAGGTGGTGGCCGGGAAAGTTTGGAGACGACACAATCGCAATCTGATGCCCACCTTCCTGGGTCAAGCTCGTGGTACGAGGCAGCCACAGGACGTGGTAACGAGGACTCCCTGATGTACTCCAGCCTCACCGACAGCGTCGTGAGCGAGGCAGCCATCAATGGTCTGACTCTGCTATTGGGAGCAACCTCTGTGTGGACAACGTTTCCAAGTGGACGTCGCCAGCGAAAGGCTAGATCAGATTAAACATCGACTGCTCCTTCTTCAAGAGGGAAGACAGAAGTGGTGCCGATATGATTGCCCGGCGACCTGACAGATCGGTTGTGCTGGCTACCAGGCTGCCCGCAACTCCATCCAGAACTGCTCCGAGGCGGAGGAAGCTGAGGCTAAAGCGGCATTACCAGCTGAATCGGCTTCCTTTCGATTTTGATGGCGGAGCTACTGGCTGGATCGGCTTTCTTGTGGGCGCATTGGTAGGGTAACTACGCGAGGAACCGAGCGGCTGGCCAGTGCCGGGTCCACTACACACAGCAGTCGCCGCCACATCTGTCGTCTCCAGATCTGAGTAGATGCTCGCCGCCGCCCCTTTCAACAACATGTGATCCGCCTCGTCGAGCGAGGACGCGGGGTGCTGCTTCTGAGTACACAGGAACCGTCTCATTCCGAGAGGACTCGCCGCTGTTCCACAACGAGGACGCCGCCGAGGTCGTTCCGCAACACGCCGTTGTTCCAGCAATAAAACGCAGGTTTTGCCGGCCCCTAAATTGTCTCCTTTGCTGATATTGATTATTTATTTGTCCTTCCTCTGCACAATTGAGCGCATGATTTCAATTGCCATCGTACAATCTGCATGACATGCCATGCTAAATGCAGTTATGTCGTTTGATTACCAAGAGTACTAGATTCAACATGATCGGAGCAAGAAAGCTATTTTGTCTTTTCAATGCAACCTTAGGAAGATTTTGCTAACACGCTTGCTAACACACTGCTATTGATTTTTTTCAGCCGTGTTCAGAGCAAGAAAGCTATTTTGTCTTTTCAATGCAACCTTAGGAAGATTACCAGGGAGCCCTAATTGCCAGAATTAAATCTTGATGTCTACAAAAGTAAGGTGTGCAGTAACCAAGTTTAGAGAGGGACATATCAAGTTTAATCTGAATTAGAACAGGACAGGTTTGACAAACAACACACTTCTGGCCATTGTTTAATTGATTGTTATTAGGGAGCAAAGATATGCACACCTTCTTTTTCTTGAACTATGCTGAGAGCACATAGTTTCATGTTGTCAATTCATAGATCATCACAGGATTAGAACTTGCTCTACAAGAAATTAGTAATTCTCTATACTGCATTTTTTTCAAAGTAAGAAGACATGAGTTGACACTGCAGGACAATGAGACTATCTGAGGGTCTATTTTGTGCACAAGCTAAATTATTATTGTTTGGGCAATCTGATTATGTAATGTTTAACCTTTGGGTACAATGGAAGTTACTGACAGATGTTGTGTAACTGAACTAATTTCTCTCGTTCGATTTACCGCAAAAATGTAAATACTAAGGATGAGCAGAGAGAAGAACAAAAGTCACTGATTTGGGGAAATAAATAATGTTAGCATAGAAGAGCATAGCAATTGTTCTTTGCAAGTTGTAGTACATAGGATCTTAGTAGTGAAATTATTCTAGGTGCTGTTTGATAAGTATCTGCCATGGTATTAACAATGCAATTATTTTGAATCGTTTACCCATCTATTATTGCTGCTGCACACTGAGGTTTGATTTTACATATTCTGCATATGCTACATGAATATTGATGCAGAAACTGTTGTTCAACTATGAAAATTAAACTGTACCTCCGTTATGCGATTGAAGCAGCATACATATTTTGGGCTTTCGTGATTTTGGGTCAGGTTTAGTATTGTTCATAGTCGTACATTTTGTACAAGCTGGTATTTATTTATGCATTCACATATTGTAGTTGCTGAAAAGTTCACATTGTTTCTTCTCCTGTGCTTTTTATTCTGATTTGCTCGAAATTCTATATCAGGGGGATTTATGCTCAATAGGATATATTTGGGAAGACGAGCATCTTATAAAATTTGTTTACTAACTTATGTGATGCTTGAAGATTTGTCATATTCAGTATCATTGTTGTTATCTAATGCTTGAAGTACATCTCAACTCCGGAATTTTCAGTAGATGACAGTCATAAAAAATATTGAAACTACTCTCAATGATGAAACTTAAAAGACCAAAGGAAACAATTTAACACATTCAATGAAGATTATTCATAGCCTCCGTAGTTACGAGTCTTCCATGATGGAAAATCTTGAAGGTATTGTATTTGAGAAAATTGTTGTTTACCTCCGTTGCATCGCACTGGCTCTTTTGCTAGTTTAATTTAATTATCAAAAAGTAAAAAGAACAGGGAACGTTTACTACTTAGGCTGCGTTCGGAGTGCAGGAGAGCAAAGCAAAGGAATGAATAAAAGTATAGGAAGTGAAGATGGGTGAACAGTGCAAACCATAGGTTTCCAACAGGACGTTTCCTTTGGTCTGAGTAGATGTTATCTTTCCCGTGAAAAGTACAAATGGAGGGCACTTTCCTGTGGAACGAACAGTGCTGATTCCTGTGGGGCGAACGGGCTTACAGGAAAATATTCCCGTGGAAATCGAACCTGCATAACTCCTGTGCGATTCCTGTGCACCGAACGCAGCCTTAGGGCTTCTTTGATTCAAAGGAATTTTATAGGATTTCTGGAGGATTGAAATCCTTAGAATTTTTTCCTATGTTGGTCCTTTGATTTATAGGATTGGGTCCCATAGGAATTTTTCCTATGGAATCTTCTGTACTACATTTCGGGCCTCTTTGATTCACAGGATTGTCAAAATGAAGGAATAGGAAAAATGCAGAAATAGGATGGCATGTCTCATAGTATCCTATAGGATTTGAAAGAATGTTTGATAGCGCGGGGAAAACAAAGGAATTCTACAAAAAGGTTTGAGTGGATGGAAATTTTCCTCCAAAATATAATACAAATGGATCCTATGAAAAAATTCCTAAGGATGCTAATCCTATGAATCAAACGAGCATCACAGGAAATATTCCTAAGGGTTTAAATCCTCCAAAAATCCTATGCAATTCCTTTGAATCAAAGGAGCCCTTCATAGGAAATTTAACATCCACTTCAACCTCTTTTTACAATTCCTTTGTTTTTCCCGTGACATCAAACAATCATTGCTAATTTTATAGGATTCAAATGGACATGTCACTCCAATCCTATACTTTTTCTATTCCTATGTTTTTAAAATCCTACGAATCAAAGAGACCCTTAATTGCTGAGGGGAAAAGTCGCTACCGAGAGAATAGCTTCAAAAGAAAAGAAAAAAAAAGTCGCTACCGCGAGAGTGCAGGGGAGAGCTCCGCATGGCCGGATCCAGTGCGGGGACCCATCTGTAGGTGGGTGCTACGGGGAGGTGGATGGGTTGGAATAGGAGGCCCCGCTCCGCCCCGGCCACAGCTAAGGGGGATCCAGGCTGGCTACACCCAAAGGCGGGCTTTGTACCCTATTATCCCTCGTCACCACACCTTCCCCATCGTCTCTCCGGAACATCAACCTTTTCTTGCTCCGCCATCGCCGTTCAAAGAAACAGAACGAAGATACAGAAGCCAGCCACCGCCGAGAAGAAGAAGAAGTTACGAAGGACGAGGTGGCCGTAGTGAGAGTGGAAGCAGGGCCTTGAGATGGACCCGTGCCCGTTCGTGCGGGTGCTGGTCGGCAACCTGGCCCTCAAAATGCCGGTCGCCCCGCGCCCCGCCGGCGCCGGCGCCGGCGTGCACCCCACCACCTCGACGTGCTACTGCACGATCCGGCTCAACAAGCTGCCGCTTCAGACTGCCGCGGCCCCGCTGCTGCCCTCGGACGACATGACGCAGGGTCCCGCCGCGACGGGCGCACTGGCGGCCGCCTTCCACCTCTCCAAGGCCGACCTCGACCGCGTCACGGCCAAGCCGTCCCTGTTCGTCGCCCGATCCGCGAGGCTCAAGGTTGCCGTGTACGCCGGGCGGCGGGGCACCACTTGCGGGGTCAACTCCGGCCGGCTGCTCGGGAAGGTGGTCATCCCGCTGGACCTCAAGACCGCGGTGGGGAAGCCCATCGTGTTCCACAGCGGCTGGCTCTCCATCAACAAGCGCGGCCGTAAGGCCTCTGCCGTCTCCGGCTCCGCGCAGCTTAACCTCACCGTTCGCGCCGAGCCCGACCCGCGCTTCGTGTTCCAGTTCGATGGCGAGCCTGAGTGCAGCCCGCAAGTGCTCCAGGTGCAGGGTGGCATGATGCAGCCCATGTTCACCTGCAAGTTCTCCTGTCGCAGTAACAGCGACCTCCGCTCTCGGTGAGTCATTGTCATCATGGTGAACAATTCAACCTCAATTCCCAAACAAATGTTGCTTTGTTCTGACGGAATTCCTCAAAATTTCGGTGTTCCAGATCAATGCACTCCGATCCGGGGAGTGGCGGCCGCAACTGGCTGATGTCGTTCGGTTCCGACCGCGAGCGGGCAGGGAAGGAGCGGAAGGGATGGTCGGTGACGGTGCACGACCTATCGGGTTCGCCGGTGGCACTGGCGTCCATGGTGACGCCGTTTGTGGCGTCCCCCGGTTCCGACCGCGTGAGCCGGTCCAACCCGGGCGCGTGGCTTGTACTCCGGCCCGGCGACGGCACTTGGAAGCCGTGGGGCCGCCTGGAATGCTGGCGCGAGCGTGGCGCTGGCGCGGCCGGCGACAGCCTCGGGTACCGGTTCGAGCTCCTGATTCCTGACCCAACCGGAATGGGCGTCGGCGTCTCTGTCGCCGAGTCCAACGTCCCTTCCTCCCGCGGGGGGCGCTTCGTCATCGACCTGACGGCGGCGCAGCCCTTCGGCCGGTGCGGGTCGCCTGGGTGCAGCCCGCGCGGGAGTGGTGACTTCAGCGGCGGGTACGGTCTCTGGCCCTTCGGGAGCTACCGCGGGTTCGTGATGTCGGCGGCAGTGCAGGGCGAAGGGCGGTGCAGCCGGCCAACGGTGGAGGTGGGGGTTCCGCACGTCGGGTGCGCGGAGGACGCGGCGGCGTTCGTGGCGCTGGCGGCAGCCGTGGACCTGAGCATGGACGCGTGCAGGCTCTTCTCGCACCGCCTCCGCAGGGAGCTCTCCAGCACCCGCTCCGACCTACTGCGGTGAGGACACCCACCGAGCGGCAAATGCGACCACAAACTGTACAGCGGTGGTGGCGAGATCGAGGGAGTCGATGGTGGTGGTTCAGGTCTCTTGTTTTTTTTTTCCGTGGGAGATCAGACTGTCCGTTTTTTGGGATCACTTCTGGTGATTTTTGGTGGGGGTGTTCTTGTTTTAAAATCCGTCAATAGTAGAGTAGTAATTTTTAGTCTTCTACTAGCTGCTTTGTGAAGTTTTAGAAGAAAATCATCAATCAGCCGTAGGAGAGAGTTCGTGTTGTGTGTGTGTTCCGAACTTCCGATCGTCCTTCCAGTTTCAATTTTTCTTTTCTTTTTTGCCATGAAAGGAGTGAAGAACCGATGTCTTATTAAAACCCGTTGCAGAATGAATCGTTGTTTTTTTAAAACCGAAGAGCTTCTCTTTTTAGTGCCACTAGTAGTTGTGATGAGTTGTATTGGTAGTATTTTGCAACGAAAAGATTTGTTGGGGTCGACGCACTGGTAGAAGTGGGCGTGGCGGTTGGCGGGACAGGGCGGCATTCCTCCCAGCTGGAAAAGAGGCGGGAGGGGTGACGCCTGCAGTGTGGGCCCTGCGAGTGCACATGGGATGTCTTCTCACGTTTCGTCCACTCCTACTCCCATTCTCCGCTCGCTGCGCGCATGGCGTGGCGTGGGTCCGCGGGGTGTCAGTGAGTGACGTTGTGGCGCAGCTGCGTTGCAGTGGGTCAGATGGGGTTTCAGCTGCTTTCCCACTTTTCTCTTTTGTGCTTGGTTGCGTTCGGGAAGCGGTTGTAGGGATTGGTGCTGTCTGTGATGTGCTGTGCTGCCATGTAGTTGGGTGCCTGCGTCTAGTCCAAGCTGTTTCTGCCATCGCACCACCGGTGCCACTGGCACCGGACTCTTTTTTGCTAAACATTCAAGGCATCTCCAACGCTGTCCAGGCAAACATTTAGGGCGTCTCAAAAAGAAACCGTTTCAAAATAATTTTAAAGAAACCGGACGAATTTCATGAAACCTGACTGAGTTTAGCAAAGTCCGGACATAATTTACATAAAATGGACTATGTTTTGTCTGCTTAACAAAAAAACTTCATGTTGTTTCTCCTTTTTTTTTCTAATTTTACAACACTCAAAGTAATTATAAAAAATAGCACAATTCATCCATAAATATCATGCAAATATTTCTAGTACAACAATAGTTCAAATGTAAATATTACATCTGAGATGACCGGATGTTCAACAAGTTTTTTGAATTAACCGATTCCACATTCAGCGATACTAGAATCACAGCTGGCACACGTCGTCCCACACAGGCTGCCTCTTGAGCTTTATCCAACAATGTATGTGCGTGAATGGGGCCTGCCCTTGGTCCTGTAGTACATCACGGCAGAGCGTGTAGGATATACAATGTGTAGAGTAACATTAAGTGAATGAATGAAGTAACCAACGTGTAGAGCAACATTGAGTGAATGAATGAAGTAACCAACATGTAGAGCATCAGAAAGCAAAACTTACGATCATGGATGATGTGCATGTCGTAGGGCGTAGTGCTTTCATGCATGAAATGAACCATCCACGCGCTGCCAAAAGATCGAGCCCCTTGAGTCCTGCCTACAAAGTTCGCAGATATGGTTAACCATACATTTCACAACAACTCATCCTCCTTCATCAAGTAGCTAGCCATCGTGCTTAGTCTAGAAAACAACAAGAAGTTCAACTAAAAGCTCGATGGCATTTGACCGAATACTTGTCGGGCGTGATGTCCTCCATGGACGTCGTCGACAGGGCGGCGGAGGGTAACTGAGCGAAGGGATCCCGGGTGGACGACGGTGTAGTCCAAGGAGGGCAGGCGCATTGGTGGGGGCTACAGACGTCCTATGATGCCTGGGCGGTGGCCGAAAAGGTAAAGCTACGACGTTGGACGAGGAGGGTGCAGATGCAAAGCAGGGGGTGAGCATGGGCGAAGTGGACCGGAAGGGGGATTTGAGTGGGCCGAGGGTGTCAGAGTCCTAGGTGGTGGTGGGCCGGACTCCCGCAGAGCCCTCCTCCCCCGTGTTTGCTTCCGGTTTGCAAGAAAGGGACGTCCGGACTGGTCCACAGACCAATGTGGTACCATGTTGGGTGACCGTTGGAGATGCCCATGCACACCGCATATTATAAAAAATTCGACTTTAAAAAGGGCACGCTGCATTAAACGAACATGTAGGGATGAAGTTGGAGAAAATGTTACCTGCCGCGTCATTGTAACAAGAAGAAGAAAGCCTTTAGTCCCAAACAAGTTGGGGTAGGCTAGAGGTGAAACAAAAGATCTCGCGACCATGGCTAGTTTTTTGGTGATATTCCAATCCTTCATATCACTACTGTAGGATGCTGCTAATGCGACACTACAATCAGAGACCCTTCGAGAAACTGTGTGCGATGTAATAATCGCAAACGGTGCTGTATGAAAACCGTCAGAAATGTATAAAACGTTTGCGATGACAGATGCATCAAACACGGTTCAAGTTTAATTTGCATGTGCGATGAAGGGCATACGCCTCAGTTCATTGAACTATTTGCGATGAGGAGGAACAAAAGAAACGGGCAGCCAGATGAAGGCGTGTGCAATAGACAGCATACGGTTCACTCGGATGAACTGTTTGTGATTAGGTAACACAAAAGAAACGGTCAGCCAGATCAAAGGTGTGTGCGATATACGACATGCAGTTCACTCGGATGAACTGTTTGCGTTGAGACATGAGAACAGAAACGGTTCAAATGAACAAGATGTGTGTGATACGAGGCAAACAGGCCTGTAATCGGATACGTGTGCGAACACCGATAACAACACAAACGATTACTGCTAACAAGCTGTGTGTGTTGTGAGAAAACGATTGCTGGTATACAATTGTGAGTGATTGATGAAAACATCACCGACGGGTTTCATTGTTTAGTCCGTGTGCGATGTGATTTTCTTTGTCCGCACAACATCTACGCTCGATCTATAACATCAACATATATACTTAAAAAGACAGCATTGCATAACCAAATTAAGCATATAATTACACAAGGGACTAGACACAACATTTCCACACATCAAAGAAAGCAATTACATGCATACTAAAGTAGGAGAAACGAGGATCTAATCATCTACTTATTGTTGCGAAGACGCTTGCCATTGCTCTGCTTCCAGCTAGATCCCTGGCCGTTTTGGGGAAGGAGGGACTTCCTCATGTCAATGATCCACCTGTACATGTCGTAGCTCGTGTACGCCTCCTTGGACGCGTACACGACATGAGCTTTGTCGAGTTTCTCCATCCAGGCCGAGTGCCAGGCACGCTTGTCCTTGTTGCACGAATCCTTCATGTCTCTGTAGTAGGGGTCGATGATGGCCTCGGCGAGGTGAACCAGTGAGTCCTTCTCATGCTCCTTGCTTCCTCGGATCTTGTATTGGCCCTGGATGTCGACAAGATTCTGGCAGGCGATGCCCAAATTCTCGAGCGCCTTTACATTGTTGGTGATGTCCACCGTAGCGAACATGTAGTGGGGGCTGTTGACAAACCTGGAGAAATGCTCGCAAGGCTTTATGGCCACGCAGTAGTGGTAGACAAGGACGTGGTGGCGCATGCACATCTGGGCAACAACGACCTTGGGACGAGACCCGGCACGAGCGCGGGTGTACTCGAGGTCGAACCCGACCACCTTGTACTTCTCCTCGGCAAGCAACAGCTCCATGATGTGGATGGAGTGCTCCACCCAGACCGGGTCGTTGGTGTACACCACCGAGAGGTCCATGAACCTTCTATGGGTGTCCACCACGGCACGCATGGTGAACTGCTGCTCGTCATCGGCAGCCGCTCGGAGCGCCATTGGAGCCCCGCAGGATACCCTCTAAGAATTTCTCATGGTGGGTGTGCTTGTTGCAATGGTGGGCCACGATCGAAAGGTTGAAGAGACACAAGAGTAGGTTAAAATGGCCGCTGTAATAAATGGGGGTCGGCCGGCCTGTAATCGTCATGTCTTGTCACGACATTCATAGCGGAGGATTCCAGAATCTAGTGCAGGCTTGACAACACCGCACCCCAGCGCGTGGGCTCGAAGAGCCTGTTCACGCGCTACTGCGCTGTTTACCACGCAAGCTTCCCTCTCGGCTAGTTTGGCCACTCGTCGGCTAGAAGAGGGACAAATCATGGGCGTTTACTGGCAAAAAGCTTTGTAAAAACAAAGTGTATGGAACGACTTCGGTCATAAGTTTACCCTTGGGTAATGAGGTCAAAGTTACACAGAAGGGTGATGATGGACAGTCGAGTGCGATAACTAATTCTGCGCTCTAAAGTGCACACGGTGGAAGAAACCAACTGTGTGCAATATTGTCGAAGATCGCAGTCGAGTTAGCTATACAGATCGTGTGCTGTGAGATCGACAAGGTAAACTGATTCGAGAATGGTTAATAAAATCTAAGACCATTGCATATTAAGGTCAAAATAGTACTAGCAATATACGAGTCTCATACGATGCCATTTCAACGATTGTACCACAAAAGCTCGAAATGTTACAAGGTTCAAATTCCAGAGTTATATGGCTCAAATTCGAAGATTACAAGGTTCAAACTGATATTAGAAATGAAATTGAGCTCATCAGCTGCAAACGCTCGCGCTGATGCGTTGAGCATGGATATCAGAGAGATTCAAACTATTATCACCGCTTCTAAGTCTGGCTTCGAAACCTCACAATTTTTGCAAAGGGGTCAGCCACTGAGAAGTCATGTATGGGGTTGACCCGATGACTTTCGATTACTCTGTCATCTGAAGTTTCAAAATGAAATTCAGCCTTTTTGGAGCCTACTCCATTCTGCCGCAGGCGCCGGCGCTGATCAACAGACCATTCATTTTTGCGAAACAAATGTAGGGCAAACCTCTTTTCCTTCAGCACCCTTGCTCTAAGAACAAAGAACCTAGCAAATATAATCTCCGGTAAGGTCCCTCGTAGGAGTTCACAGTAATTTCCGAGAGATGTAGATCTAGGCATT